AGAAAGGAATGTTATTCCTATCAGGCCTGAAGAGGACAGGAAAGGCACTACAGAAGAGAATTTGAATTGAGTGAGTCTGAATTGTTTACCAGGTGGAAAGGGTGGGGGAGAAGTACTGCACGAGCAAAAATGCAACTGGAGAACTGCCAGCAATCCACCTCTGCTTGAGGTTCTAGATATATGAAGAATGGGGGTTAGCAATATGAGAAAACAAGGGGCACATTGAAGGGGGAATGCCTTGCTCTAAAGTTAGCACAAGAAAGGCATTGGTTGGCAATTAAAGGATTTTAGGCTCAGGGAATCAATCGTAGGATCAATTCTGCATTTTAGAACTATCATTCTGGTGGCAGAGTGGAAAGTGGATTAAATAAGAGAAGATTCAAGGAAGGGAAATCTCTTAGATCATCATTTCAGTAGCTCAGGTGAGAGTTAATAAAAGGCCTGAGCTAAGATGGTAATAGTGGAAAAGAAGAAAGGGCATACAACACAGGACACATGATGGTATGAAATTGAAGGGATTTAGTAACCAATGAGATTTGGAGAACAAGGGAAAAGGAATTTAGGCTAACCAAAGAAGTTTCTGTCTTGGATGGTGGTACTATGCACTAAGATTGGAAACATGTATAGGAAGAATAGATGGGTTCAGCTAGAGACACGTTAAATTTGTGATCTTTCTGTGGGGCATTCATGTGGTTACAGAAAGAGATCAAGACTGGAGATACAGATTTGTAAGATGGAAGTTGAAGCCATATATAGCAAATGCAGCAGTTGCCCTGACAGTATTTCCTCCATGCTCACCATTCAGGATCCTGTCAACCTGAAGGCTTCCAATTGCAGGTACCCATGCCTTCGTTGGGAGCCCAGTGAGTGAGCTGGCCACCTGGTAATGAGGAGTGACTGCTATAGGGTATGGGGTTTCTTTTGGGGGTAATGAAAATATTCTGAAATTAGTGTCATATTGTATAACTTTATAAATATACTAAAAAAAAAACACAATAAATTGTATACTCTTAAAGGTGGATTTTAGAGTTTGTAAATTATATCAGGTTTTTTTTTTAATTGTGATGAAAAAATACCCTGATGACTCAGCCTAATTGAACTACTTGGTTCACAAACGTCACTCTGGTTTCACACCTATGTGCCTTTGCTCACTGCTGCTTCCAACTAGAATTTTCTTTTTTCTTCCATTCCTCTCTCCATATTTCCAAATCCTACTCTTTCTTCAAAGCCCAGTTAAAATTATCTTTTGTCCATGCATTTAGCCTTCTCCAGGTCAGGGGAATGAACATGTTGTATTTCTCTGACATCTACTAGACATTTATTTTGCCTCCTACTTTTTACTCTTTTGTCTGTATTAGAGATTTTCACATATCTTGTTTAATGAACTTTAGGTTCCTGAGAACAATTGTTTTACCTGTAGATCTATTAAGTGCCTTGCACATAGTAGCCTCTCAAAATATGATTATTGAATCAATACATCAAGGACTGCCCTGGCTGGTTTGGCTCAGCGGTTAGTGTCGGCCCTTAGATACAAGGGTCATGGGTTCAATTCCCAGTCAAGGGCATGTGCCTGGGTTGCAGGTTCAATCCCTGACCCCAGTCAGGGTCATGTGGGAATCAATCATATCAATTTTTCTTTCTTTCTCCCTCCTTCTCTTCCAGTCTAAAAAATCAATGAATAAATATCAATGGGTGAGGATTAACAAAAAATAAAAGTGTATCACAGTGTTATCTCAGTCCTTATACAACCCAGGTGTTGTATCATCTAAGTTAACTGATGATGAAACTGAAGCACATGGAGGTTAACTTGCCTGTGGTCATACAGCTTGTTAAACAGTAGAGTCATGATGCATACCCAGGCAGACTGCCTTTAACGTCCATTACATATGTAGTACATTAGGATGCACTTTTTTTTTTTCCATTTAATTTTCACACAACCCATTGGGGTAAGTAAGTATCTCCCCTCATTTCACAGATAAGGAAATCAATTCTTATTGAGGTTAAATAGCATGCAGCTACTAAATGGCAGAGCCTTGGTTAGACTGTCTTCAAAGGCCCATCCCAACCCTTCCCTTACAGTTGGCTTTTAGGGTTGGTACAATTTCCAGACTCTACATGAGGGAGCTCACTGCTCTGCTCTGGTCAATGCTGGTGTGAAAACTGATTATAGCACTGGTTCCCTATCCAGGTCTGTAGCACCTACTTGTTCTCTTTCTCTTTTCAAATATATTGTAATCAGTTTACAGTATTTCAAAAGAGAGATTTTTTTTCATTAATACTCAATTAAAATGAGATCCAGGATCATATGTATGCATTACCTTCTCTTGGTTGGAGAAACATATTTTGCAACCACAATGATAAACAGAAATACAGGGGACAAGGAAGGAAATTGATTTTTTATTGCCAATTACCTGAATTTTAACTTTTAGGACTCCAAATCAAATCCTAGGTAGAGCTTATGCCATAACCTCTCCCTTCAGTTACCAGATTTTTCTAATCCTCCTTTGAGTTGAAGCATCCTTAACACACCTCTCTTTAATTATACTGTATTTTATAAATATATATGTATATATGTTTTAGATATATAAATATATTTGTAAATATACTTATATTTTCAAATATAATTATCACACAGTATATAATCAAATGGTAAGTTATACAAATATACGTAAAAACAAAGAAAAAAGAGGTGTTATGTGGAATTCTCACACACATACACAAATCCTTAAGCCTCTGTAAGCCCCCTTTGGGGGTCGAACGACCCTTTCACAGGGGTCGCGTAGGACATAACAGTAGCAAAATTACAGTTATGAAGTAGCAACGAAAATAATTTTATGGTTGGGGGTCACCACAACCTGAGGAACTATATTAAAGGGTCATGGCATTAGGAAGGTTGAGAACCATTGCCTATATAATAGCAATTTGATTATTTAGAAAAGTCACTTCTAGGAAGAGTAACATCTGTCTCTTTAAGGACCACGAGAGAAAATGGAAGTCACTAGTGAGATGGGACTGGCTGTAAACAGCTCCAATGAGGTCCTGGGAATCTTGCTGAGAGAGGATATTTGGGGCTGGACTAAAATGTCTGTTGGGAAGTGGAAGGAAGAAAAAGGCAAAGTTAGGTAAGAGCATTCTTTTCAAAAAAGAATGTAAACTTGAGTGAATTTACTTTCAATTTTACAGTGAAAGAATGGCAGAACAAGAGGAAGTATAATTAGACTGAATGAGAAAGATACTACTGGACCTGAGACATTTACCAGTTTCCCATTCCTGAGAATGTTTCAGCATTTTTTTTTTTTTTTTAAAACATAGCTTCGGAGTAGGATCAGGGTTACATAACAATTCTACTTGCCCCATCTTTGATATAAATTATTTACAATTCTCACTTCTTAACTTTAAATCCTGGAACAGTCATTAAGATGGATGCCTTGCTATAAAAAGTAGGGACCCGCTTAACTTTATTTTCTTTCTATTCAGAAAACTGCCCTCTTGACCTCTGCTTGGGGATGGAAGGACTGTTGAGTGCAGCCCATCGCTTGCTTCAATACATGTTACAGAAGTGTTTTGGGATGGTATTTTGACATAAGGAGAATTAGGTTGTTTCTGAGACAATGGCTGTCAGCTGCTCACTTCTCTCACTTAAAGCATCTGTAATAGAACACATCGTGTACCTTCCCCTTCGATCGTCCTCGGATTCCCACTCCCGCCCGCTCACCTGACATCGTCACTCGTTTCCAGGCAGGTAGAAGCCCAGGGCCGTGGTTCTCGACTGCACTTCGCTTTGCAAGGGGACTCGCTCGGATGTAAAGATGGCCAGTAGGAAACACAAAACACATCGGAAGTGGCCACTGCAGTTTACTCTGCTTTAGGTGAGGGGCGCTGGCTGGCTGCCAGGGTGGGAATGCCCGGTGCTGTGCCAGCGGCCGCCGGGAGGGCTGGCGCCAGGGCGGGAAACGTGCGGAGCAGGGAGCTGTCTCCGGGTGGAACTGCTTTCTGCTGTGGACCCCTCGCAAGTCCCCCGCTCAAACTGTCACCTCTCGTCTCCCTGCCACCATCGCCCCGCCACGGCGGGCGGCAGAGGGAGAGGCGGCTGGGGGCGAGGATGGGTGCCCACTGCAGCGTGGGCTGGTGAAAACACAGGGTCGCGACCTCGCAGGGGGCAGCGCGAGCCCCGCAGGACCAGAGGCGGCGTCCCCTGCGCGGTGTGCAGACAGCGAGTGACGCCCACGCGCGGCTACCACCCGCTCGCGCCGCCGGAAACTACAGCTCCCGGCAGGCCCCGCGCCGCCGCGCGCCCCCGCCCCGCACGCCCGGGCCCCCCGCCCCCGGGCCTCAGGACGGGACGGGGAGTGGGAGGAGGGACAAGGGAGGAGGGAGGAGGGAAGAGGGCGGCGGGGGGAGGGAGGGAGGAAGGGGCGCCAGCGGCGGGCGGGACCCTGCAAGGCGCGTGAAGCCTCGCTGGCGCCTCGTCCGAGACCCAGGCGCTGGCGGGCGCGGAGTTTCTCACGACCGGCCGAGCCCGCCTCTGTAAGTAGTCGCCTCCGGGAGCGCGGAACAGACCCCGAAAAAGTTAGCGCCGCCGCGGCCGCCGCTTTGTTCTCGCGGCTCGTCGAGCGAGGCGGCCCCTCCCCCACCCGCCCGCACGCGGCGGCGGCGGCGGCGGCGGGACTCGGACCCCGAGCGGGGCTGGGCGGCGGCCGCCGGGCTGGGCGGGAAGTTGGCGGAGCGCGCGGCGGGAGGCGCGGGCGGTGGGCGCCGCGGCGGTCGGGGCGCCGGCGCGGCCGCCGGGGAGGCCAAGTTCCGGCGTGGGCGCGGAGGCCCACTCGCACCCGCGCTGCGCGGCGACCACCGCGTCTGGCCCCTGCGCTGGGATCCGGGACTCGGTCCCCAAACTGGCTCCCGGCGCCAGACCGGCGGCGGCCACGCTGCGGCATTTTGGAGGCGCCTTTTCCTTTTCTTCTCATCACTTTGCCTGCGCCCGGCCCGAGGGGTGGGTGCTCGGAGAGCCAAGCCCCTACCCCAGTTTCCTGGCTGTTGAGCTTTGCGCGTTGCTGCGGCGCTCGCAGTGGTTCTCACCCCGGGAGGTCCTTAAGATGAATCACTGAGGAGTGCAACTGTTTCTTTGAGCAATAAAAAGCACCCACACCACTTGGTCGCCTGTTGGATGTTTTGTTTGAAGTCATCGCAGTCAGAAGCACAGGCCCTGCCGACTGCGGGCACGAACGTAAATCAAGTGACAGGCGTGTGTGAGCCCTGCAGATTTTTCCATAGACACAGATTGATGGTTGGGACGTAACTGTCTCTTCAACCACACCCAACCCCACAGGAAATAAGACTATCAGTGTCATCTTTGATTAGAAAGGGTAAGTTACGCTCTGAATTACTACTTTGTAGGACCCAGCGTTAATGAGCTCTGTCTAGTCGCAAGTGAAACAAAAACTTTTAAATGCCTTAACTTGTACCCTGGAAAATGTTACTACTGTATTACTCTTACCTTGCTTCTACTTTGTACTTAATGCTGAAGTTCTTCCTTACATTTTTAGCGACTGATTTCGCTTCGATCTAATTTACCAACTTCTGATGCAATGAGGGCTGGAAATATCTATGGGTTTGCTGCTAAAGGCATCCATAAAGTACCCTACCCAGATCTAGGCCAGTTGTGTAGAGGAACCTTTTCCTACTCCCTTGTCAGGATCTGGATTGAGAGCAAGCATGGAAATTCAGACAAAAAAGTTACAAGTTTTGATAAAAGTATGTGAAACGTGTGACAGAAGCCAACATGTTAGGTTTTCCTTCAGTAGGTAACATCGAGGTGGTTAGTCTGATCCCATGAGCTTGGAGTATTTGACAAGCCTGTTTCTACCATAGGTTCAATAAATTGGTACATATCATTTAACTTTTTAGGTCATTCAAATTCAAGAATGTTGACTGCTTTATATCTTCAAACGAATTTTTTAGGCATCCCAGGTAGTAGTGAGTCTTTTCTTTTTTTCTTTATTGATTTCAGAAAGAGAGGAAGGGAGAGAGATAAAAACATTGATGAGAGAGAATATCAATTGGCTGCCCCCTGCATGCCCCCGCTGGGGATCAGGCCAACAACCTGGACATGTGCCCTCATTGGTAATCAAACTGGCAACCTCTTGGTGCCTGGGTAGACCCTCAACCTTTGAGCCAGGCAGTAGTGAATCTTTTAAATATGCAGATTTTGCCCTGGCCGGTTTGGCTCAACAGAGTGTGGGCCTGCAGACCAAAGAGTTGTGGGTTCGATTTCCGTCAAGGGCATGTACCTTGGTTTAGGTTAGTCCCCAGCCCTGGTGGGGGTTGTGTGGGAGGCAACCAGTCCATGTGTCCCTCTCATGTGATGTTTCTCTCTTTCCCTCTTCCTCCCTCCCTCCCTCCCTCCCTGCCACTCTATCTGAAGATAAATAGGGAAATATCCTTGGGTGAGGATTAAAAAAATAAATAAATATGCAGATTTTATTAGCTTTCAGTTTCATCAGGTGACTCCTTTAAAATAGAAATTTCTCTCTTACTGGATTATTCTTAATTTAAATACTGCCACACTTAAAAAAAAAAGCTTAATCAAGTTTTGGAGTATTACATTTTTAAAATTCTACAAGAATTGAAAAATCCACATATTCATTTAAGTGAATAGTGGTCGTTTATTTATTTATTTATTTACTTATTTTAATCCTCACCCGAGGACATTTTTCGATATTTTGTTCAGATAGAGTGAGAGGGAGAGAGAGAGAGAGAAACATCGACGTGAAAGCGACACATCGAGTGGCTGCCACCCACACGACCCAACCAGGGCTGGGGACAAACTGCAACCGAGGTACATGCCCCTAGCGGGAACCGAACCCAGGTCTCTCTGGACCGCAGGTCGGCGCTCTAACCGCTGAGCCAAACCGGCCAGGGCTGAATAGTGGTCATTTAAATACACTTTCTTTAGGGACATTTTTTTCTCATTTTTATTTTACTTTTAATTTTTTAAAAAAATTCTCACCAGAGGATGTTTCTCCATTTATCTTCAGATAGAGTTGGGGGAGGGAGAGAGAAACAGCAATGTGAGAGAGAGACATTGATTGGTTGCCTCCAGCTTGACAGACCAGGGCTGGGATCTGAACCACCACCGAGGTACATGCTCTTGAAACAGAATTGAACCTTGACTTCAGGACACTGGTCAATATTGCATTAAAAAAAGGCCACATGCCTTTTTACATGCTGAGAAAAATACATGTACATATCAACAGGAGAAAAAAATTCATTAGAATTCCTAGTATACAAAACTGAATTGAATCAGGAAAACCCATTACTGGTAGAGAGTCGTGGTAAATATGCTGTTCTGAATAGAGAAAAAAAAAAAGCATTTTACCTTTTCACTTTAGCCTTTACTGTGTACAAAAAGAACACTGGCTAAACTAAATAATGAGCTTCCTTTTGAAGTACTTGTTTTGTCTTCCTGGAATCCTCTGCTTCACTCTCTACTTCCCTGACTCCTACTTATCCTCTAGGTCTCAGCTTAAATACCACTTTCTTAAAGGCACACCTTGCCTGAAATTAGGTCCCCTTAGTATTATACTCTGTCGTGTCTCTTTTTATAATTTGTAATTACCTTGCTATTTATGTGAATGTTTTTGAAACGTATATGGGCCACATACTGTAAGCTCCAAAAAGAGCAATAGCCATCTCCGTTATGGTCATTGCTATGTAACCCTAGTGTCTCATAACAGTCTGGCAAATAATGGGCACTCAGTAAATATTTGTTAAATGACAATGCTGCTGTTAGAGCTTCTTCTAATTAGATGCTTTGCTAAGAGATAATGTACGAGTAGGTGGGAGGTGAAGGAGAGGGGGAGAGAAAGGTAGATCAACTTGTGATGTTACCATGAAGTAACCCTCAGTTAAGTCCTCTAAACTCCAGGGCCTTTGTTTTACCTAGTCTGTAATAATAGGGTAGGTTGGGCTCAAGACATCCTATCTTTTTATTCCATTTCAACAGTGGTGACCGATTATATGACCTCATTTGAATGGGATATGTGACAGAAAACTCCCCCAAAGCATATTCTAGATGTTCTAAATAAACTATTAGAAATGCTTGCCAATTCATAGATGTTAGGAACCAATATATTTATTTGATGTAAAATTTATAAATTAGTAAGATGTGTACTATTGTCTGTTTTCTAATTGAAAGACAAAATAAATTAGAGCTTTTAGATTTTTTTTTTGATACTTAATTTCAGTATTTTACGCCTTACATCTTGCTTCATTTTAACAAAGCAAATCCAAGTTCCATAAAACAAAACAGGGAGAGGAAAAACAGATGGGATGAGTGGGCAGAAGCTAAAATGACAGCTCACTTCATTTCTTTTGTTTGTGTTTATGCTGAGATTTTTTTAAATATTATTTTGCTCAAAAGTATAACATTTACATAGCTTATTAATAGTTATCAATAATTCTGATAAATTAGTCGATTGTATTACTAGACAGTTACTTTTATTTGGCTAATTCTAATAGGTAAAATAAAATGGAAATTTAGTGGAAAGACATCTATCAATAATAAATTATTGAACACAATAATATCTTATTTTTATAGTATTTAACCTACACATGATATTATTCATAGATATTTTGCTACTTTTTTAATGACAGTTCAAACCTCACGAGAAAACCTGTTTCATTGTTGGGTTGTTGGAGATGGGGTGGAATAGTAAAAAGAACATGCGTTTTGGAGTCAGGGAAACTTGTTTGAATCCTAATTCTATCACTTATTGTTAGCTGTGTAGTTGTGGGCAAGCAACAACTCTGAAACTCAAATTCCTTTTCTATAAAATAGAATTAAATGAATCTCCTAGGGTTGTTGCAAAGGTTTAAGGAAGTATCATATCTTAATTGCATTATTTAGCATAAAGTAGGAACTTGTTAATTCTTTCATCTAAATACTGTGAAAATTGCTAGAACTTACTGAGTACTTACTAAAAGCCAAGTACTGTTGTAGGTCTTTACATGTAGTAGATCAGTCCTCACAACAACCCGTGAGTAAGTAGTGCTGTTATCTTTACTTTCCTTCTACCCTCTGCAGTGATGCTGAATAAAACCTGTTAGTCTCTTAACACCTTTTCATATATTTGAAAATCATTATTTTGTTTGACTTTGTTAAGCATATGTTGTCACATGACATTGTCTTTACTGTTATTTTGTTTTTAAAAATCAATATAGCTCTAAAAAGTGTGGACTGTAGAAATGAATACAGTAGTAAAATATAGGCTGACTGGCAACCAGTATACAGATTGATGGTGATGTATTCTCAGTGTCCTGGGGGTTTATGTTTGCAGTAGTTCTTTTAGTCATCCATTATAGTAGCAGCTCCTATTATACTCTTAGGTTTATAATTCCTCTTATGAACAGCTTCTAAGTCAGCATTTCTCCATTTCTATACTGCACATTTAATTTTTTGAAACTAAATGCAAAGCTTTACATTCATCCTTGTTACATTTCACTTTAATTTTCGTTTTTTCCCAGATTGTATATCTGAGATTTTATAAGCATGTCTTTCATGTCCTCCTCTTATACATAATAAAAAATAATATAGGGCCAAGGACAGACTTTCAAGGCACTCCCTAAAGACTTCTCTCATCTAAGTTGATTAAGAGCAGCAAACCTATCCAACTCACACTCAAGCAACATATTTACAAAAGTTGCATAGAAAACCATCTTGAATACTGTTTTGGCCAGAATACACTATTTTTGTTTGTTTGTTTGTTTGTTTGTTTGTTTTGCCAGTTGTGTGATCTTGGGTGAATACTGTAATTTCTAAGCCTCTGTTTTCTCAACAGTAAAATGGGTTCTTGTGAGGATTAAATGAGATAATACATATAAAGTGCTTAGGACCGTGTCTGGCAGAGAGAGCGCAATAACTGTGAGCTATTATTATTTCCTTCATCTAAGAAACCTAATAATCATTCTTTTCCAAGATGTAAATGCAGTTGATTTGACATTATTTGTTCTCTTTGAATTCATGCTGACATCTAGTGATCATTATACTCAAAACTATTCCTAGTTATTAAAAAACCATTTCATACATAATCCTTTCTCAGATTTGACTAAGGATTAATATTAAATTTGTCTATAATTTCTGAAATCTGCTTCTCCCTCCCCCAGCCTACAAGACTTGAAGCAACTCTGAACCACGTCTAGGCCATGATTAGTTCTCTCTTTCTGAGCTCTTTCTCCAAGATTATAGCAGTCAACTTTGTGATTACACTTGTTTATTGCTTTAGCAGTATGGAATGGATTGCATCTGGACCTGAAGATTTACACTCTCATAAAGTTGTTTTAGTCTCTTTTTCACCAGGCTCGGGTTTCAGTTCTCAGTGCTTTCCTACAACTGTAGTTGAAAAACTGAGAGACGATAAACAGAATACAAGTTGAGCAATTCTGCCTTCTCTACGTGCTCTCTGAACCTTAACAACATCCTCTCTGAGCAGTGATTCTCTCAGTTCCTTGTTCTCTTTGAGAAATAGTATGTTTTACGAAACTTGAGTCCAAATGCCCTCCCCACCTTTAAATAGCCATGATGGGCAAGTTGCTTTATCTGCTTGTGCTTCGTTCTTCTCATCAGCAGAAATGATGTTTGGCCTGTCAAATTCCAAAGAGATATTGTGAGATAAAGTATGTGAAACACCTGTAAGATTTAAGTGCTGTACAATATAAGGTGGGATAATAATCATTTTTTTGAATGTAGCTACAAAAGCTTTTCTTATGCCCAGTCAGTGTGGCTCACGGGTTAAGCGTCAACCCATGCACCAAGAGGTCATTAGTTTAATTCCTAGTCAGGGCACATGCCCAAGTGTGGGCCAGATCCCCAGTGGAAGGCATGCAGGAGGCAGCCAATCAGTGTTTTCTCTCACATCAGTGTTACTCTCTCTCCCTCTCCTTTCCTCTCTCTCTAAAATCAATAAAGAAAAAAAAATTTTTTTTTAAAAAAGCTTTTGTTATCTTTAGGCATTTTTTTCCCCAAGGCTTAGTTTTTCTTGAGTTTTTTCATTCCTGATACTATGTATATTTTTTGTGTTCTGTTATGTTCATTCTAATTTATTTAGCCCCATAACCACTCTGCAGAGAGTCATTCTGCAACCACACTGGATGCTTCACTCTTTTTTAATCATTGGAATTGTTTACAGGTATATAAGTGGAATTTAGAAAGATCCATTTCTTGTGAGCCATTTCACTTAGCCACTAGAGGGTGGGTTTATACCTTCTTTTTATGTTTTGAACTGTCCTTTTATAAAAGTGTGATGATACACATGTAATCACCATTACATGTGCCTAGTGTTCTCTTCTTTACTTTTACAATCTTTTATAATGAGATCACTTTCTGCTAAGTTCTTGTCATAAGTATGTTTTTCACATTTCTTGTTGGCCATGTAACTATAATATATCTCCACCAGCTTTCTTAGACTTCTGAAAGAAATCTGTCAACAAGTCAGGTATTATATTTTGGCAGAATTAGACTTTTAATATAAATAAGAATACTCTTAATTTGTGTTAGGGCAATATTATATATCTTTTGTATTGGCTGAGTGGTACATATTTTATTTCTATGAAATATCAGTTTTACTTTTTTGTCCCTTCTGTTTTTCTCTGTCATAACTCAGTTTTATATTTGTGGAATCAAAGTGTTTGATTTCAAATTTCAGACATTAATGAGGAGTGCCAGGTTATTATTATTAATATTATTTTTGAGCAGGAGGTTCACCCTGAAGTTATATGTACGGTGAAAAAATGGCTCCGATAACTAGAACAAGCCCTCCTACTCCTCCCCCCAAAAAAGGCTATCCATTAGGATTTATTGGTGAATTATAAACATACAACCAAAAATTATCATTTAAAAATTATAGGGATTCTTGCATTTTTTTAAAAATGTCAAATAAGTATAAAATAATAAAAGTTTTTTTAAAATTTCTTCCAGGCTGACTACAACTCACAAGGAATCAACTTTTCTCGATGGATCCATTCATCAAATGAAATATGCCTCTACTTCATAATGGAAATATTTACTCCTCCTAAAAATGAAAATGAGGACATTTAAGGAGGTGATTTAAGGTGTGAACATTTGAGAAAGTATTCCATCAAATCATTGAACCAAAGGATAAGTACTGATAGATTAATCCTAAATACCTTTTTTTTTTTTTTAAACTGGGAGGATTTCATCTTGACAGAAAAACAACTTTTATTCAGTATGTATTTTCTGAAATTTAAAGAAAGAGACAAGAATAAACATAAAGGAAAATAGATGAAGATGCTTAGAAAGTAAACAATGTCCACTCTTTTCTGATGAGGATAATTCAGTGATGTTAAATCCTTTCCAAATCCGTGGTTGCGATCCTGAAGTCAAGACTCTTTATTGAAGGGACTGATATTAAGGGAAGTAGTGACCTTTTGTGCATTCAATTCACAGTTGTAGAACTTGCAATCATCAGTATGAGTAGCTTAAAAGAGGAAATAAAGTTTTCAACTAAATCTAAAAGTACAGTCTTTTTTTTTCCTGCTGAGATTTTAAAAACCTCTTCATAACCATTGAAAAAGAATTGACAACTATTTTAAAAGATTAAAGAAAGGCAGATGTCTGCAAACAGTTCCCCTCCATCAGCCCAGAAGTCTCTATTACCTGCAACTCTTCCTGTTGTGCTTCCAACTCCTCCTTCATGTTCAAGTCCAAAGACAGGACTCTCTGCCCGACTCTCTAATGGAAGCTTCAGTGCACCGTCACTCACCAACTCCAGAGGCTCAGTGCATACAATTTCATTTCTACTGCAAATTGGCCTTACACGGGAGAGTGTTACCATTGAAGCTCAGGAACTATCTTTATCTGCTGTCAAGGATCTTGTGTGCTCCATTGTTTATCAAAAGGTACTGTGCATGCTATTTATATCAATAGTTTTTCTAATTAATATTGTTTCTAATGCTTTTCTATGAATTATATATGCAACAATGAGTTTACACATATGGATGAATTAATTGTTTATATCTAATTCTGAGCATTGTTGGAAGAGTCCTAATAGACTATGAGTCTATAAAGTCTGAAATTTCAGAGTGTTAACAATAGGAGCCTGTATCCCAACTTTTTTTATTTATTTTAATTTTTCTTTTCCATTATTGATTTGAGAGAGAGAGGAAGTGAGAGGGAGAGAGAGATAGAAACATTGATGAGAAAGAACATTGATTGGCCGCCTCCTGCATGCTCTTCACTGGGAATCTGGCCCACAACCCGGGCATGTGTCCTGACCAGGGATCGAACCAGTGACCTCTTGGTGCATGGGTCAATGCTCAGCCACTGAGCCACACTGGCCGGACCTGTATCCCAACTTTAAAATACTGCTTACTGTCCTCTTAAGAGCAGGAAAATCGGCATAAAGTCAAGACAGTTTAAGAAATCTCATTTGCTTTTGGAGAAAACAATAGGTAGAGAGCTCAACATATCAAGGTGGCTTACCAAAAGGCTGGGGCGTGGCATCAGCTGAGTCCCAGGCCCATCCTTGGTCTTCCTAGGTGTCCTGTATTCTGTCTTCTTTTATATACTCTTTCTTCCCTTTAGATCCTGATTTCATCTAAACTGACATTTAATATGAGTGGATCTTCTTTCTGTCTCTTAAAAAACAAGTAAATGAGTTTGAATATGTGACAGAACACGTGAAAATTTGAAAATAGAGAGTGGTTTTGTTTCTCATCCACTCATCCTTTGTCCTATAGCATACCATGTTTTAAAGAACCTTAGCTAAGTGCTTTTAATAATTTGATTGATGGATAGCTGATATGTCCTCTACTTCATCATAAAACTATACATATGTGAGTAGTGTGAATTGGTTACATTTTATTTTTAGTGGACCAAGCATATGTTTCAGTTTTGTTTCAAACAAATTAGTATAGTTATGTTTTAAAAATCCTATCAGTGAGGTTAATGTATTTGAATTCAAGCTCCTCATCTTACTGTTTTTCTTTCAGTTCCCTATGCTTTATATGGTCTGTCATTATCTTCTGATGTAGAATTAACAGTGCAAAAATGTTCTGTGGTTTGTGAAAATGACCTATGCCTCCTGTGTTTTAACAACAACTTTTCTGTTTGAGTGTAGCCTGTTTGTTTTGTAGATCTGTAAAGCCGTCTACTGTCTTTAAGTATCTTTGCTTTTAATTTCCCTTTCACTAAATGTTATAGTGGTGGTTCATAAATATTTCTGCAACTAGGTTGTACTTTTTACTTTAAAGGTAAGATTTCAACTTAAATATTTTTCTTTTTATTTGAGCTCATAGAAACTCATAACCAGTATTTTGGTAAGTCTATTATTCAGTTTTAAATCTTTGGAAATTTTATTTACTTTTTATATTTAAAGACTATACTTTGAGGGATCATTTCTATAGTTTTCTTATATTTATATAGAGGTATATTGATTTTCTACAGGATTATTTTAGATTTAATGGTACTTCATCATTAATATAGATGTGAGAAGTAGGTTGGATGGGTTAAATTCTTGGGAAACTAGATTTAAAATCATAATCCATGAAAAATTAGAGTAATACCAAGGAAATAAGCAGGATATATTTCAAAAAAGATAAATAAAGGTAAACTTTATACATATTAAAATAGAACAGTTGATTATGGGTATAGCTAGCATAAAATGAGATGAGTATCATAGTGAACTGAATTTGAACCAATATTATAGTGATATGAGCATGTGTTTGGCAAAAAATAGATAACATACATATGACATAACATTATATATTCCTTTTGACGTGTGGTAGAATGCTAACTTGTTTCAGTGCAAAATAGTATTGAGCTTAAAACTAGGTCAACTCTATTATTTCTTTTCTGTATAAGTTTTGGACAAGTGATTTTACTTCCCTGGATCCCAGTTTCCAGATCTGTAAAGTGACTGAGTTAGGATGATTTCTAACGTGTAATTTCAGCTATGAAATTCTGAATCATTTAATCTGCATTTAGGTCTTCACTGCTAGAGACAGATAAAGGAGAAAGGAGTCTCATGGGATGACCTGCTCCAAGTCTTAACTGGAAAGGACTCTTAAGAGAACCAGCTTTATAGAGAGGTTTCATGGATCTCTGACTCATCTGGAAGATGGAAAAACATGTCAGAAATACTTTAATCTGGTCTTGGACACTCGCTCACTAGTCATCTGCTTTCATTACCTACATGTATACTGCTCCAGTTAATTCCCAGGACTCTCGTGGGCACACCAGCTTTTCTTATTTTTAGTCATTAAAGACATTTAGCTAAACCTTCTAAAGATTGGATAAATTTTAGATAAAGAAAGATTAACTAGCTCAGGTGGTATGGCTTAGTGGATTGAGCATTGGCCCAAGGACTGAGAGGTCCCGGTTCAATTCCTGTTCAGGGCACATGCCCAGGTTGTGGGCTCTCACATCAATGTCTCTCTCTCTCTCTCAAAAAATCAATTTTAAAAAATGAAAACCATTTTTAAGCCCTGGCCTGTTTGGCTCAACGGTTAGAGAGTCAGCCCGCGGACCAAAGATGGAAAAAACATCTTTGATTCCAGTCGTAGTTCATCCCCGGCCCTGGACGGGTCGTGCAGGAGGCAACCAGTCGATGTGGCTCTATTACATTGATGGTTTTCTCTGTCTCTGTCTCCCTCCCACTCTATATAATGATAAATGGAAAAATATCCTCAGGTGAGGAATTTAAAAAAAAAACACACATTTTTAAGAAATAACCAGACACTGTCCCTTTCCTCAAAAAGGTTATAGTCTAGTGAGGGAAACATGTTCACTAGTATATAAAACATGGAAAGTGAAAAGTGAAGTTAAAATAAAAAGTGCTCTTCTTGGATGATAAAGATGTGGAAAGTTCATACAGAAAATAGCATTTAATCTGATGTTTTTAAAATGAGCGTGATTTCCATAATTTGGGAGGTGAAGAATACATTCCTAACAAAAGAATCAGTATAAGCAAAGAAATGGAAGGGGGCGATGGGAAGGATATGATTGTTAACATTTAATCCTCAAAATAATTTGTGGTGCATCTTAAACTTTAATGTATATGCCAGTCATTTTGTGATTCTACTAAAATGTAGGTCTGTGGTGGGTTTGCATTTCTGACATGCTCTCAGGTGACACTGGTGCTCTTTATCCAAGGGAACGACCACAGTGAGGTGAAAGTGTATAGATGATACAGTCTCTGCTAAGTAAGTAGAGTAGGACACTGAATTCCAGAGACATTTTAATTACTTGCTAAAATCCAGAATTCAAACACAATTTTGTTTTAAGTAAAAAAATCTGTACACTCTCTTCACCACACCATGCTGTCTTCCTTATGCCAGTGAAGTCTTGCACTTGATTCTTCTAAGAGTGTAGATTTAACTAAGGTCCATGTACAGCAAAGTGACATGACCAAATCTGTGTTTTGGAAAACTAAAATATGGCAACTAAGAGTGAGATCAGATAGGAGACCAGTGTAATCAAGACCTGAACTGAGGCAGTTGGAAAGTGATGATATAGTTAGGTACTGGGAAAGTACTGTTGGTAAAACTTGATATCCTATTGAACATAGGAAAGAGCAAAGGGTGAAAGACAGAAAGCCTGGGTGACTGGATGAGTGGTGATACTGGTAACCAAGATAGAAAATCCAGAAAGTAAGGTTTTCTTGGGGGAGAATGGGACTGATCTTTATTAAATTTTATCTTGTAAGATAGAGTTTATTAAACAGTCAGAGACCTGTTTTTTCATTTAAGATTTAGCTGAAGGATATAAATTGTTCTAGTGAGACACTTAAAATGGAATCTTTGCCTACCAAGAGGATCTTTCCCAACTCTCTTTCTATAGAGAAACTAACAAGACTGAAAAGATCTCTTAGTTTGGAGGTTCTGAGGAGAGACCTCTCAAAGTTAGTGAAGTGAACCTAGAGGCAACCCTACTTTTAAGTTAGGGAAGGAGGACTACCCAAACTGTAATTTTATTTTAACAGTATTTTAGATATTTTAAAATGTATTTGTAATCTGCTAGTTGTAATGCCAAATGTAGACTCCATCTATTTTACATTTTTGCTTCCAGTGTTACTATAGTCACTGTTCTGTACATTACATTGCCAGAACTTATTTAAATTATAACTGGACATTTGTACCTTTGACCACCTTCACATATTTATTTCCTCCACCCACTACCCTCCACGTCTGGCAACTACTAGTCTGTTCTCTGTTTCTATGAGGTTTGTTTTTTTGTTGTTGTTTTTTAGATTCCACATATAAATGATATCATATAGTATTTGCCTTTCTCTGCCTGACTTATTTCACTTACCATGATGCCCTTAAGATCCATCCATGTTGTCCCAAATGGCAGGATTTTCTGCTTTTTTATGGCTGAATAATACTCTGTTTTTATGCACATAAAAACGGTACCACATTGTTTTTATTCACTTATCCATTAACGTACACTTAGATTGTTTGCATGTCTTGTCTGTTGTAAATAATGCCGCAATGAAATTAAGGTGCAGATATTCATTTGAGATAGTGATTTCTTTTCCTTCTGGATATATACCCAGAAACGGAATTTCTGCATCATACATAGTTGTATATCTCTGAAACCAACAGATTATTTATAGTTGAGCTTTGCTTAAAACTTGGATGTGACCAAAAGTGGTCACTCCTTTGAATTCAGTCCAATTTCATGACACATCCTGAGGGTGGAGTAGGTGGAGTTTCTTTTGTTGTTGTTGTTGTTGTTAACATAAGCCTAAAATATAGCTTCCTTTTTTTTGAAGATTTGAAACACTTCCAACATTTATGTTACATTGATATTGGTGCTGTGTTACTCATCTTTCTCTCCCTAAATAATGCTTTACACACAATAAAAATTTGTTAAAGCACACATTCTACCTGCTTTTACT